GTGGCTCAGAATGAGAAATTGGCAAGCCAGGTTTGAATTCCAGTTGGGTTAGTTAAATTCACTTACATGCAAATACTCCCGAGACAAGTATGAATCAATCTCTCCTCCAAACTATGGGTTAAATAGTAGAACTTGTATCTAAAAAAAATATTTAATGAAATATTTACTTGCCAAAAAAATAATTATTCTTACAATCTAAAATATGTTTTGGCTTTAAACAACCTGCAATGGGTTTGATAAGCCATAAAAAAATCAATCAATCAACAACTAATTGTCAATGTCCTGTGAGTGTTAAATTCTCCAAGCACTCTTACTTCATTATGTATCCCAGAAATTCTTCTTTCTTATTCTAATTCTAAGTATCCTTTTGTTTCTTGCTTTATTAATACTTCCTCATTGCTCACATGCTTTGTCTATGTTATTCTCAGCATCCTTCTCTAGAACCGCATCTCTGTTGCCTCACATTTCCTCTTTATCTGTGAGGATATTTACCAGCCTTCTCTGTCATATAGGAGGATATAGCAGTTTAGCACTTTGTTTCTAATGTAATGTCCCCATTTCTTAACTGATCAGTGATCTTCTTTTTGTTATTTCTAGCTGTACACTTCATTTGGTGGTTTTGCATCCATAAAAAATAAATAAATAAAAGTTAATTATAGCATAAAAAAAAATAATTATAATAAAATCATTATAATATTATTATGGCGTTAAAACGTGTGTCAATGAAAATTTAATATCCTTTTTAGGTTATTATAGTAACATTTATCTCTTAGCACTTTTGAGGTAAGAAAACCTCTGACACTTCTTGTATTTTTTCAACTAAATTATCTGGACATTCATTAAACATATCTACATAAAAAAACAACATACAAGAAAGACTGTATACACTTTGCTTGTTCTTTATCTTATCCTTCTAAGAGATTCTAATCCATATTTGATCGACATTTGATCACAAAATCACAATTTTAATCACTATTACTGCCTCTCGTGTCTTCAATGCCACATAACAACCAGATGATAAATAAGACTTATTTTGATGTTTCCACATTTTTCTCTTTCTCATTTTTATGAGTATTTTTGTTTATATAAATGTTAGGGGGTTTATAATTATTAATTATTAATTTCTAATTATTTACTCAGAGTTATAACTCCCCTAGAGTGGGAAACATTAGAACGGTTGAAAAGAATAAGCATTTCTCAAACTGCTATTCACATGGCTGCCAGTTATTTAAATAAACTGTTCACCATAAAATAAAAAAAAATATGTTACACATATGTTGTTTTCTTCACAATAGCAAAACATACAATATAAAATATTGGAATAAATAATAAGGTTTTTGTTCTTATATATAAAATCACAAAATATATCTATTGAAATATTTACAAAAGGTTGTTTCTCTCTACAACATGCAAAGGTATAATTTATCTACACTTACATTCACTTATAATCATGTGCATTAAATTCAGACAATTGTACGTTGAGAGACAAAATGTATTTTCTTTTATCTTAATTTTTTCGAATTTGTTTCCTTTTTATTCCCACATTACTTAAGCCATAGATTTTTGATAGTGTGTTGTCAGTACAGACCAGAAACATAGAATAAGCTGTGAAAGAGACTTGGAACTATTGTCCCCTCTGCTTTAGGTAAATTTACTTGAATACATCAGATGTTTTAAACAAACTGAGCTACTAAAACACAGTGAGATGAAGAAATTCAAATTTAACCTTTCAAATCCATCACTCGTGTCATGCGGTCTCTCTTTCTCTCTCATAATCCTTTTTATACATGCAACAGCATCTTCATCTTTTTAGGTAAAACCTTGTTAACCACTGTTTTAAATTTATGACTAGTATTTATTTTCATCTTCATTTTTTATTTGATTAGCTTGATGCCACTTCTATTCTAATAGTTTCACTCACACTTCTTACCTTCTAATTTATATTATTTATATTGTTCGGACTATTGTTCTCATCTTCACAACGTTACACTCTAGCCTTGTTCAGGTGATTGGAATTTTGAACTGAACCCTTTATTTCATCCACCGGGGTAGATTGTTCGAGTTCCACGTGACATACCTCTTCTGTATGTCTTAGTTATCTCCCTATAGCTCAACTCTTCAAGTTTTTGTTCATCACTTCAATAGTCAGGTATTGACCTCTCAACTTTTTGGGTCAAGTCACTGGATCCAACCAACACTTTTATCCATTGGGCCATGTGTCCCTCCTAAATTCTTGATTCACCACTATCTGCAGTCTTCAAAAATTTAAATGCAACATCAATCACCATCTTCTGTCTTCCTGAACCCTGTTCCTTTTTTATCTCTTTCCTCACTAAAGTCTTCTCATTCTCTTTCACTCCCTACAACCATTTGCATCTTAGTAGCATTATCGCCTTGCTTGGGGTGAAATGATTAAAAGGATAGGTTTTTAATTTCATCTTCATTTTTTATTAGAGTCAACTTTGATCTTCAAACAAAAATGCCATGTCAATCATTATCTTCTGTTTTCTTAATTCCTCTTCTTTTATTGTTCTCTCTCCTTAATAATGTTTTATTTATTCTTTGTATCTAAGCTGCAATTTTTGCCTTGCTTGGGGGTGAATTAAAAAAAAGTATTTACTTTCATCTTCATTGTTTTGTTCGATTGTCAATCATTATTAAGATTTATTTTGACAAAACTTTACTTTCATTTTTAATAAGAGGATTATGATACTTCTGCTTCTCACGTATTATTTGGACAGTGCTCTTCAGCAATCTTTAACCTTTGTGCCCATAAAAAACTGTGCGTCAAAATGATGATTTTCACTTGACACAACTATTATTTTAATTCCCTTCACTCCTCAGTAATGTTTATTGTTTTAAAAAGCAATGATTAGAATTTTAATAAAACCTAAACATATGAAAGTGAATTTATATATTTTCTTTTTTCTTGAGAATTGGCAATATAATAAATACTATTTATTTAGTAGATTTTTAAAACAATAAACATTGCTGAGGAGTAAAGGTAGTTAAAATAATAGTGGTATCAAGGGAAAAACTGTTCTTTTGACACTACATTTTACATGAATGTCCAAGATTGCTGGAAAAACAAGTAGGATAATTTAATATGAAATAATAATAATAATAACAATAATAATAATAACAACAAAACGACAATAATAATAAAAATGAACTAACTGGTTATCACACCTCATTTGTCAGATCTTGATCAAGTAAAGTTAATTTTTTTGCAAACCAACTAAAAAGAAACATGAAGAAGAAAATACCCACATATCAATAATATATTGAGATGAGTCATCATAGGTTTAAGTTTTATTACAATTCTAATCATTGCTTTTTAAATAATAAACATTGCTGAGGAGTGAAGGTAGTTAAAATAATAGTGGTGTCAAGGGAAAAACTGTGCTTTTGACACTCTGTTTTTTTATGGGCACAAAAGTTAAACATTGTCGAAGAGAACTGTCTAAATAAGTGATCTAATGGAAGATACTTTATGTCTGAACTTCTGGAATAAGAAGTTACCATCATTTACATTATTTACAATTGGACTAATGTTCTCATCTTTACCTATTACAATTAAGGGCAATATAAAAGAAAGTGAAATAGTAGCAGAGGAAGCCAAGCTTCACAGCAAGGCTGTAGCAGCATCAGAAGAGACAAGAATAACATTAAGTTTCAAGCCTCCACCTTGTAGTTTCAGGATTATCCCAAAAACAGTGGCTTAGAGAATTAAAGCATTGTTGAGTGAACATCTTAATTGTGAGTTCAATCTCTCGGCTGGGTAGTTCAGATATACCCAGATTCAGTGGAACCAGGTCTATAACTAACTGAATAATTAACCGAAACAAGATATCTCAAGACATGGTAGACATTGATTAAATAAAGCATTTAGTTCAAAATTCCCTGAAGGTTACCTGAACTGACAGACATCTGAAGAAGGCTAGTGGGTACTACAGCCGAAATGTTGGGATCATAACAATAAAGATGAGGATATTAGTCTGACTGTAAATAATGTGAAAATATTCTCTCATGAAATTTCAGACAATTCTTCAGAGAAACAAACAAAAATGAAGAGTTTGTAGATCAGATTAAGAAAAATGCACTATTTCACTTGGCCTTGTGCCATCTCAGCAACTTTTGTTCTTGTATCTTAGTAAATAAACCTCAGAGTGGTTAAAATAAGAAAATGTTATGCACTATACTGATCCATGATACCTAGAAGAATGTGTAGCCACAATATGCAAATGTCTTTCTAGATATGAAATGAGAAAAGAAAACTCAGTGTTTCCTGCTGGCAAGGGTACTAGCAACGTGTTTAAAAAGCACAAAACCTGTTGTTCAAGAATTTCATTTTTCTTTTACATTTGACCATATTGTTTTCTCTCTTGTTTTCGCCTTCTAACTCTGAGGGAAGAAGCCATATTGCTGTGAAAATAGTTTTATAAAAATCCAATGTTTATCATAATGGGAACAATAAAATGAATGTTGGCATTTGTAAAGCAAGAATTTAATTTTGTATTCAGACAATTCTTTCTCATTTGCCATTTGGTGCTGGGTCATAGCACCATGGTTAAAGCACTGGGCAGCAAAAATGTGAAGAGCTTTCATCCTTTTGAAAAGCAGTCATCATCAGGGATACAGCAAATAAAAATATACAGAAATTTTATTTTAATTGTTTTTATATTTATTGATTTTTTCTGAGTTCAGGGTAATCAGGTTATTTTCTAAAGAGAAAACTACAGGTCAAGATGAAGTTATCATAGTTATGCCATATCATGGTAATGGTAAAATTAATGGTAATGCTAAAATCATTGGTAATTGTAAAATTAATGGTAATGATGATAGTAATGGTAAAATTAATGGTAATAGGAAAGTTAATGGTAAAATCATTGGTAATGTTAAATTAATAGTAATGATGATGGGAAAAAATGTATGACAAAGTGGAAAAAGTTTTCTTGTGACATGTTTCGTCCTTTAGAACATCATCGGCTAAATTTGTTATGTTCATATCTATCTATCTATCTATCTATCTATCTATCTATCTATCTATCTCAACCTATTCATATCTATCTATCTATACAGGGTGCGATGGTTAAATTGTCGCCATTTTACATTTTGAATTTCATGCATGCATGTTGCTTGTTTTTTTATTTTATTAACAGCACAGACAAATAGTGTCAGTTGGACACTGTCCATGAGAAAAAGAGTACCATGATGCAATTCACTCTGTCAGAAATTTGGAAAAAAAATGCTGTACTGTCTGGCATTTACACCAGAAGCTCGAATACGAACATTTCAGAGTGTTTGAGTGTCAATATGAGGATAGTGCAGAGAATTTGGAAAGAGTTAGTTGAGTCTAAAGATGATTACGAAGGTGCTTGGAGTGATCACTAGTGATGGCAAAATTTATGACTCCATTCATCTTCCCACAGTGCTTCAGACTCAACACGGAGGCCTATATCAAGTGCCTTGAAGAGGTAGTGTTGCCTTGGGTCAAGAGGGTGGCTGCTGGAAGACCCTGTCTGGCAACAGGACTCTGCACTATGCCACACCTGCAGGAGAATTCATTCATGGCTGCTAGACAATTTCTGTTACAACATTACCCATTATATCTGGCCACCTAACTCCCCAGACTGCGACCCCCTTGATTATTATGTGTGGGATGCAGTTGAACGAGAGACCAACAAAAATCCTTGTAGCACCAAAGATGAACTGAATGCAAGGATTATGGCAACATTCACCAACTTAAACAAGGAAACCATCCAAAAGAGTTACAGAAGATTCCTAAGTCGTCTGGAGGCTGTGGTTGAAGCCAATAGTGATTTTTTTAAATAAATTTACTCTTTAGTATTTCAAGATATTTTTGTGTAATTTTGGTAAATATATTCAAAATAAAATGTCAGTGTTATTTTGCATAATTTAGATGACAATTTATCCATCATGCCCTCTGTGTATATATATATATATATGTGTGTGTGTGTGTGTGTGTATTGGGGTAGCAGATCATTATTCAAACATATATTGTTATATATAACAGACAACGAATGTCTATTATGTTTGATCAGAAGCCGTTCTAAACTTCATATGGTTGCTTTAATTTCAGGTGAAAATAAAGACAAAAACTGTCCAACATTTGGATATTTTTTTTATTATACTGTTCCTTGATCTAAGCTACAATAACGGTATAACTGCTATTCCACAACTGTTATCAATGCATAGCAAACTTCTATGTAAACATAACAGGATGATGAATATCTCTGTTGTAATGTCCATATAACCAGTCTGATGATGGCTCGTATGATGAGACACTGAGATTATATATATATATATATATATATATATATATAAGTGTCTCTTCATATCTATTTATCTTTGTTTATATCTATCTATCTATCTATCTATCTATCTATCTATCTATCTATCTATCTGTGTTTATATCTATCTTGAGAGCAGTGTTTCTCAATGTTTTTTTTACTTCAGAGTGTACTTGTAGAATAATCATAAACTCTGGGTTGAATTTTAAATTTTAATAAGGAAAAAATTAGTTATGAAATTTGAAAATATGAAATTTTGGTTAAACATTCCCAAAGAAGACTAGTGGTACACTTTTCATTTAAACAGCTTTTTGAAGCATTTTTTTTAGAGAGGCCAATAATGACAGATTTAATTTCCTTGAGGAAGGAAAAATTGAAAAGATTATCCACTCCTTCCTGAATATTAATGAATTTAGCATCCAGTTTAAAATATCAAATGACAAAGACGTGACTTAGACATGAAAGCCATATGCTTGGTGTCTTGATATTTTTAAAAAGAATGATTTTTTAAATATAAAAATAATTCATAAATTACTATGCTGTTAACTTGGGGTGCACCTGGCTACCTTTCAGAATGCATTAGTGAACCTGGGTACACCTGGCTCCCTTTCAGAGTGCATTAGTGAACCTGGGTACACCTGGCTCCCTTTCAGAGTGCATTAGTGAACCTGGGTACACCTGGCTCCCTTTCAGAGTGCATTAATGCACCTGGGTGCACCTGTTGAAAAATGCTACTCTTGAGTAATAATAATAGATATGATTTATACCTGACAAAAGACACTGAAGAATAATGTGAGCAGATTTTGGCAAGTAAAGGACTCACCTTAAAATTTTACACCTTTACACCTTTTCATTTATCAGGATAAGTTTTGAACTTCTATCTATATATATTTTTTTATAATAATGTTATATATATATTTGTAATTTGATCATTTAGTTTAATTTTATTATCATTGAATTGGTGTTTAATTTTTGGGTTCATTGACTGGAGCATTACAAATACAAAAAAAATTATATGTTGAAACTTCAACAAATACTGATGATGATATTGTAAGGTACTGCTGGGATGCTTTCGGTTAGTTATTATGATTCTTTAGCCCTAAAACCATGTCTCACCCAGAATCATTATCCTGATGAAGGCTCTTTTATTAGTACAACTATTACACACACACACACACATATATATATAATTAACTGAAAAACATTGACATATATGTAATATATGTCAACATGTTGCAGGGGAAACTTATGTATGTTGGGACCATGACATGCATCAGCAGACAACATTCTTATTACTATCATTGACAAGAATGAAAAGCCTTCCATCTCATTCTTTTCAGTGGAATTACAAGCTTCTCAAAAAAAAAAAAAAATACCAGTTCTCATATACGGCTGTGAATACTGGTCTTCCTGGTGAATCTATGTCACAAAGGAAAAATAAAAACAAAGAAAAGACAAGGATTTCTTCAGGGTCTATTTCTGTGCAGTTTATATCATTCTTTGGACAGAAATATTAACCCTTCCCATTTTCCCTTGTGATACTTTGCTCAATTTAGATATGTCTGGAAGGTTGCTTAAGTCAGAGGTTATCTCTGACAGCATGTCTTGTCAGATTCAGCAGAGTAGTTGTCTCTTGTCATCTGCACTCTGGAATTGGCATCTCTGGAACTCTGGCTGAATTGCCCAAAGTGTTCTTATATTGACTTTCACCCAAAACTGACATGGGGGTGTTTACCCTATCATCCAAATAGAGCTCTTTGTTGTCTGGCTCTGAAAAATTAATTATATCTCCAAATTTGGGGAGATCCTATGGGTCGTGGTCACAGGTATCGATCCACCCTGATAACTCCTTCCTGTTCTTATTTGTGCCTCCTACCGACACTTCTAAATGGGCAGAGGTAATTTTTCCTTCTTCCTCCTCCTCTCTTAGTATCTTGTCTAAGCCTCTTGCTTTGGCTGTCTCTTTGAAAAATCTGGTTCTCAAACCATGTGATGGGGCTTAGTTTCTGATCATTAATTAGAAGTGTCATTTTAATTTCTTGTCAGCAAATTTTTCTCAACCTGGTCTTGTTTATACAATCAGAAATTTACCAGCTGTTTCCTCTGGTCAGCTTATCTCCATTGGGTTAGTGTTATTGCACTTTAAGAACCCAGGGTTGAGTCCTTACATAAAGAAATTCTATTTTCTTGACTTGTTTACAATTTCCACTTTTTCATAGGTGAAATGAATCATTTTTTTTTAATTCTGCCTTGTCTTTAAAAATTACCAAATATTATCTCTTCATTTGATCTCTTACGCAATCAGGAGACATTCAAACTTCTACTTTAAGCAGCACCCTCAATCATCTGTCAGCTCAGCTTCCTCCGGACAATCTTTTTGGAAATATCAAACTAACAAAGTCACTTTCTTCAATTCATGTCTGCTTAAAAATGAACAGTCTTTTAAAATTAAAAGAAATCTTGCTTCATTCTCTCCGTCTGTCTATCATTCTATTCTTTAACCATTTTAATCTTGCTCCAAGCTTATATTTTTAATTTAACCCTTTTCTTTCCATTTGCCAGTGTCACATAGTGTCACACATGGACTGGTAGGGATAGTAAAAAGACAACAGTTGCTAAGAGCTACAAAGGATAGGAAGTTGTGGAGAGCTTTGATTGCACATATCCTGAAGAAAAAGTAATAAAATGGAGGCAAACCAATGATAATATGTACATTTTAATGAAAGCACAAAATTGAATCTTTTACATTGAGCATAATATTTTATTCAACTCTAGACTTTGCCAAAAGCACTTGGCCAGAATGTGTCCCCCAGGAGCCTTTTATCCAAAACATGGGCCTTACATTCTTGTATGCAATGTATGAGAGACTGCTTCCTTACCACTGGGGTGGTTGTTTATTTATCTATCTCTGTCATGCTGCTCGTTCACAAACTTGCAACCCAGATGCAGCTGTGAGGTCAAGGCTAGGGCTAACTGTTATCTTCCGCACATATCTGCATAAGCTGTGCCTCTTACTATGTGACCTCCTACCTTGAGTGGCGCTCAGGCCTTGTACAGGGTGAACATCATTGTAAAAAAAAAAAAATATTAAAAAGATGACCATAAACAAAATTTTATTTTTTATAGACATGTCATGTAAAATAAATAATCTGAGCAAAACGATTGCTTTCCCTTCACTGCCCCCCCTCCGAAAACAAGCAAAATTTTCATAATGATATGTTTCAGTACTGCTAAGCAGATTGGTATTAAAAAAAAAATTGATGATGTGAATACTGAATATGAGCTCAGCTAAAACATAATTTGTTATGTTAAAGATTCTTTCTTTTATTTCAGTATGCATGTTGTGGTGCAGATTCTGTCTCTGATTGGGATACAAATCCATTTTTTAACTGTAGCACGTCTGGTCGTCTCAGATGCAGTGTTCCTGTGTCTTGCTGCCATCCCCCAATTAGTGCTCACTGTGGCCTTCAGGGCAGACAGATTATCTATGGAGTAAGTATAATTGGCACCTCTTTTTGCCACTCTCTTTGTATACACTTACAGCTATATAGCATGATGTGAATTACATCCGATAACAAAGCCTCTGATCAGATTAATTTTTGTTGTGCCCAGCTCTACTTTGACAAATGGTAGTAGCACCTATTAGGGTCCAAGCTATGGGCAAATAGTGAACCCCAAACAAAAACAAACCACTATGAAATTATAAAAACACATTTTTACTAAAAATACTAGCAATATATTTTTCTATAAAAAAATTACCAATAATATATATTTATAGTAAAATTACCTTCAATACCTCTATTTATAGTAAAATTAATACATTTTTAAAGCAAAATGACCAACAATATATTTTATAGTAGTATATAGTAATATAGTAATATAGTAGAATTACCAACAATACATTTTATAGCAAAATGACCAACAATACATTTTATCTATAGTTGAAGGCATACACTTGTATTCAAAATATATTTAGTTGTAGCCATAAAATTGTGTTCAACTTATTTACATTTTGGCATTAAATAACCCATAGAGGTGTTGATATGTCATTAAACAAATCAACCAACCAACATGAAAGAACTCTTTCTTGACATTAATCCATATGATATCTTACAATTTCTTAAATCAAACGGTATTCCAAAATATGACTTCAACAAAACTATAACATTAACCACATCACCACCTCTAGTAATTATGTCCACAAACTGAGTATCATCTGCCATGTATTCAAATGTGAAAGCAGAATGACATTTCATAAAATACATCTATTGGATGCTTTAGTACACATCATCAGTGATGTTTCTAGCTGCATGGGAAAAATATGAATCCATTTCTTTTCCCCCGAGCTATAGGTTAAATAGTAGGACGTGTATCTGGAAAAATCAGTTTTATCTCCAAAGGATTCTTAATGCATTATTCACCCCCCCCCAAAAAAAGAATTATTCTTACAATCCAAAATATGTTTCAGATTTAATTAATTGATGAAGCATCACAGCTCAGGAAGGTTTTGTTTTAACAAAAATGGGACGTTTACTCACATACATGTATCTACTAAAACTAATGTTTGAGGCAATAAGAAATAAAATCTATTAATTCTTTGGAAATTGCTTTATTTACATTTCGGATATAAAGACCAAACAGTATGGACTTTTGAAAAAATCTGAATGAGAGAATGTGCATTCCTTTGGACATCTTGAAAACTTTCAGCAAGGTTTGGCATACAGATCTTCTCCACAAACTGAAAAGTTATGGTGTCTTTGAACACATTTTTGAACTGATCCAATCTTTCCTATCAAATTGTGAAATGACAGTTATCCTGAATAGTCACTCATCTAGTTTCTTTTGTATTAATGTAGGTGTCCCCCCAGGGCTCCATCGTTAGTTCTACTTCATTATCTACTATCTTGATGGCATCAACTCTCAAATTGGTATCTACGTTGATGACACAACAATTTACTCCTGCCTTGATAGAAAGTCTCATCCGTTTGATAAGGTCAAAATAGCAGCTGACATCCAAAACAATCTCAAGTCTGTTGTTAACTGAGGAAAAAGATTGCTTGTTAATTTTAATGCCTCTAAAATTAAATTTCTCTCCATTATTCATCTGAGAGAACCCTCCCTGCCTTCTATCAGTATGGCTGATGCTAACCTCCAGGAAAGTGATTCATTGTGCCTTCTTGGGCTAAGGCTCTTAGCTGACATGAAGTGGAAAGTCTATATTGAATCCATTGCTAGGTCAGCTGCTATGAAAGTTGGTTCACTGTGTCATGCAAAATAATGTTTCTCTCCAGAATTTGTCATCCATATCTATAAATCTGTCATTTATCCATGCTTAGACTAATGATTCAACATATGGTCCATTGCCCCTGCTATTTATCTTGAGCTCCTTGATAAAATCTAAAGAAGAATCAGCAATATTATTAGTCCTGATCTGGCAGCTTGGCTTCAGTCACTTGCCCACTGTCCTAAGGTTGCCTCTTTGTACCTTTATTTATAAGTACTTTCATGATAATTGTTCACATGAGCTTTTCGCTATGGTATGTAGATGATTTATGAATTTATGTACAGTACTAGACTGGCATCGATATATCATCAATTTACAGTTGATCTGGCTAGATGTAGCTGTAAATTCTATTATCTAGAATTAGAAAACAGAAACTTTACTAATGAGCGAGAACAAAAGGAGTAATCAGGAAGACAGTAGATAGAAATCGACATAGCATTTAAATTTTTTCAGATTAAAGTTGGCTGGAATGCATGGAGCCGGAAGAGAGTTCCACAAGTAAGAAAAGCAACTGTTAGCAAAGAATTTACAGTTACATCTGGACAGCTCATCTGTAAATTGATGAGATCTTGACACCAATCTGGTACTATGTTTTAAATTAAAAAGTCTAGGTACAATAGTGAAGAGTTTAACCAAAAAGACACAAAGAGGCAACCTTACAACTGTGGGATAGTGACTGAAGCTGAGCTGCCAGATCAGGACCAATAATACTGCTGATTTTTCTTTGGATTTTATCAAGGAGCTCAAGGTAAATAGCAGGGGCAATGGACCGTATGTTGCTTCATTAGTCTATTCATAGATGAATGGTAGATTTATAGATATAAATGACAGCTTCTGGAGAGAAACATTGTCTTTCATGACACAGTGAACCAACTTTCTTAGCAGTTGACCTTGCAATGGATTCAATATAGACTTTCCACTTCATGTCAGCTGAGAGCCTTAGCTTGAGAAGGCACAATGAATCACTTTCCTGGAGGTTAGCATCAGCCATACTGATGGAAGGCAATCAAAGGATTTTTCAGATGATTAATGGAGAGAAATTTAATTTTGGAGGCATTAGAATTAACAAGCCATCTTTTTCCCCAGTTAACAACAGACTTGAGATTGTTTTGGATGTTAGCTGCTATTTTGACCTTATCGAACTGATGAGACTATCTATCGAGGCAGGAGTAAATAGTTGTATCATCAGCATAGATACCAAGTTGAGAACTGATACCATCTAGAAAGTAGATAATAAGTAAGTCTAAAGCTTATCAGATCAAATGTTGGTTTTTCTACAAAGGGAGACATTTTTGAAGACTTTCTTTAATAAGCTTTATCTAGTGCACAGGCCTGTAGATATAATACACACTGTTTAAAAATGGGTTGTATAGTCAAATTTTAAACTTTTAAATTTATTTTTTTTTATAGATGTGTTTGGGTATCTAGCCAATTCCATTTACCTTATTTTCTGGCTTAAAAGATGCACTTTTTTATGCCATGGGATGTAGGAAAAAAAACCCAATAAACCAATAAATATATATGACAACTATATATGTTAAATTTTATTAGGTAAGTCAATACTTTTCTAAACTAAGTATGAACCTAACAATTTTCAAGATCTATTTGAATTACAGTTAAAAATATCGGTTTTTATTAGAATATAATATTTGACGGTGTATCGTATTTTTCAGCTTACAAGACACACTTTTTTCCTAAAGAATACCCTGAAAAATATATGTGTGTCTTCCAATGCACAGCCTCAAGTAAACTTGAACCCTAACCTAATTGGTTTGACTGATAGGGATGTGGATTTGTATGTTGAGTCATTACACTATAATGTTAGCTATCTATCTAATTCAGCCTTTTAAATAATGTAATCTCAGTACTTAGCTGTTACAAATATTTCCAAGACTATAAACCTTCCTGGAGCTGAGCCACAAGCTTAAACATGCTCTAGCAGCAGTTGGAGCCCTTCTGCTCTTGACTATTATGTCATTGCCATACAAACAAAATTGGGCGAGTGATTAATATAAACAATATGTGGTGCCAGTATGTGAGGGACGTATGGTAAATGTGTTGTTGTATGAGAATGACTTTTTTTTTTTTTTCTTAGAAATTTCTTTCCAATATCAGGGTGTATCTTCCAAGCCGAAGCATCTCGTAAACCGAAAAATACAGTAGTTTCTTTTTCTTTGTATTTTTATTACTTTTATTATTAAGTCTCCCACATTGTAATAATAGAAGCTCTGTCAAGAAAGGTGAAATGTAAGAATGTTGTTTTTCTCCACCTGTGTGCACACATGCATGTGTGTGTGTGTGTAGATACACTTATAAGGGGGGGGGTTGAAAAAAAATCAGTCTTGTGATTTTAGGCCATTGAAATGCTGATTGTAAGGAGTGTGGGGCTTAACCAAGAATGTTTCTGTTCACGCCCCACCTATCTGTTTTCAGTTTCTACATGTCAAACAAGTTATGTAACAAAAGGCAAAGAAGTCAAAATAGTTTTTTATAATGAATGTTGCAGAGACGATAGTCATAATATTCATGCTTCATAGACAATATGGAGCGTCTTAAAATCAGTATTTTATCCATTTAAATTATTTTGTAACATTATTTTAAAATTTGGGAATCATTTTTTTTTTCTTAACGACATAGAGTTTTAGCTTTTTATTTAAGTTGTAAGCATTTCACCTTAATGTGATACAGAGAAGAATTTTAAAAAATTTAATGCAAAACCTCTCACCTGACTTTTATGTGTTTGCCCATGTGAGTATGCATTGTAATCAAAAGTCACAAAAGAGTTTTTTAATTTTTTATATATTTTTTGTTGGATAGATGTGAGTTTGTGACCCTAAAGTTCAAACCTAGGGTCACAAACTCACATCAATAACCAAATATGTTAGTCTATTCTGATATTGAACTCTTAATATATTGGTACTTTCTAATAAATAATATATAAATAATTATACATATATATATATTTATTTTATATTTATATACACTTTTCGCACATATATATATATATATATATATAATTATTTTATAAAAAATTTATAACATAAGTATGTTATAAAATCACTACAAAAATAGGCCCATTTGTTTCAACACACTCTGTGTCTTATCAAGTGATGGTGTTGAAAAGAAAATAAATGGTTTTAAAAAGTTTTCGAGATGAATTAACGATCCTACACTAGGGGGAGCATTGTTACAAAAGCTAGAATAACCA